ACACAAAGTAGTTACAGCGATACATTTTGTGATAAACTCGAATTAATTAGAAGAACAAGTTGAAGAGCAAAGTTTTCAACTCGTTTATTTATAAAGAAGTACACGTAATATGCAAGCCTCTTCTCAGCCAACCGTTACATGTCTATTCTATGTGAGCCGGGCGTGGCTCAGTGGTTACCGTGCCGAACTGTAAATCTGAGTGTACATGTTTCATGTTTCATTGCCACAAAATCAAAATTTGATACTATGGGTTTATTATAATAAATCCCACTATATAATTAGAGTTGTCGGTGGGTGATGTGTGGTAGCTGCCTTATCTAGTCTGTCAGTTCAAATTTAGTGACTGATAGGGCATGTAACCATAATGTAGCTTTGTACGAATATTCGAAATAACTAACCAGGTATTTTATGAGCTTCTCTATATATTCGAAATTATAACATATCAGATATAATTTGCAAGTTTGAGCATTTCTGACGCTTCTCTGTGTCTTTACGCACCTCATGAACTTAGATATTCAAAGAAAATTTCAGACCTTAACTACTACTCATTTTGATCCACTGCCCCTTTTTGATAAAATATATCAGTTGTTCAAATAACAATGGCTTTTTTTTTTATATATGACACACAAAATTTCAAGTACATCTGCACTTAGATAAAATGTTATCTTGTCTGTCACGGATCTGCCAAGACAAGATTTAATACATCGTTTCTGTTGGTAATGCTGGTTTTATCAGGAATACAAACAAGTATGACTTATTTCTTTCCCGCTTTGATTAATACTGGCTGGAGATATAAAGAATACATATTAACTGTACAACCGAGAACCCATTACTGTAATTATAGGCCCGTTTGGTTTGTTGGATGTTAAGCACAAGGCCGCATAGTAGGCTATCTGTGCTATGCCCAACGCAAAAATGGAACACAGAACCTTAGATTTATTAGCTCTAAACATACAGCTGAGCTACAAGAGAATGGATGGCGCCCTAACTTGTACAACGAAACAGCACTGATTCTTCTGAAATCAAAGTTTTTCGAAATAAAGAATTATTTTTTAATCAATAAACTTTTAATTCATAGTCAAGTTCAAAGTTGTTGTTTTCTAATTTACTGGTACTAGCAGAAATACCCACCCTCCGGGCATGTATAACTGGTACTTCCTGCGGAAGGCTATTGGGCCTGCAGCCTTTTCTGGAATTGTCTGACAGTTCTACAACAATGTACTCATACTTGACATTCAATAATGTTCACCATCCATGAGAAAAACGATTTTATTGCAACACTCATGAAATTTTCACTAAAGAAAAACAAATAATTTTTTTAAGTTTGTTTTTTGATTGTTTTATATTTGAAACTTACTCCTTTTTAGTAATTTTTATTGGTTAAGCCTGAAACATATTATTTTTGTGAAAATTTCAACTGTTTTATTTATTGCTCAGCTATAAAAATACTGCCTAGTTATAAAAATATTACCCAGTTATGAATGGTGATGATGGGTGCGGTAGTTTCCGAGATCCGAGTTTTGGACGTATACATCGCAAGCTCTATTATAATAAGATTAATGAGATAAAAAACACAAAAAAATGAAGAAAAAAAAAGAAAGTCTAGAAGGTATTTATTATATTTTTATATGTATTTGATTACACTTTATATCTATGAAAAAATAATAAAATTCGCTCTTACAAAATGTTAGCACAGCAGATTGTAGTGTCACAGAATCTGGGAATGTTATGTCAGTGAGTACAAAAGTTAAAGGATCATGTTTGGTTATACATCATATTTGTTTGTGTTACGAGACCATTCTGATCATGGCTTCACCAACTGTCGTTTGTTAGACTGTTTTTGGTTACATGACATTTCTATTCACTGACCATGCAGCTGTTCAGATCAGTTTAACATCAGTCTTTTTGTGTGTTAAAGGAAGCCTCTCTTACCAGTCGCAGTTAATAATAATCATAATGACAAAAATATCTGAAGTTTGATTAAAAAACAAACTAGAAAGCCTATTAAACATATGTAAAAAAATCACCAGCACATTCAGGTTTTACATAACTATTAATTTCACCCTTCCATAACTAGTAGAGAACACATTTTTTTATTCAAATAATTTTCATAAATTTTCTTGCAGGTGTTCTGGGTGTAGTCATGCTCAAAAGATCCAGCTTTTCTCCTTTCTCTCTTAGTTTTCATAACGTAACCACCAGAGCTCCGGTGTACACAGAACATAAATGGTTTCAGTTTTGCTCTAAGTTTGTATGGTTTTAGCTATACATGTTATGAATAATCATGGAATTGCATAATTATATCTGTCCTTGTTTTGTGTGAACATTATCAGAAATTTCTTCTTCACCCAGCAGCCAGTTAACGTCACAACAATAAACAGAAGCTGGCCAGTAAGTAATGCAAATAAACGAGTACACGTTATTGTTTGAAAACGTACTTTTTATTTGTACATTTATATATTTGTTTTCTTTGTTGACCCTGCTCAATTTCATCTTTACATAAGATATCATGAATCTGCATTTTTTCCGAAAAGATTTTGGCTATCTGTTCTAAAACACTATGTTGAAAATTAACTAAATTATCTTTGAGCAAATTCATTTTAAGCTTTACAAAGTAAAATTGTTTATACATAAGAATGAATTTTCTCAATAATACTTTTAACAGATGTATATTCCATTGGTAGTTAATACTTTTCACAAGGCTTGATCCTTTTTGCTACCCACTGTGGAATTGATTTGGGGTTGCTCCAAGCAAACTTTGAGTTGAAGAATACAGCGCAAAAGGCAACACTGGTGAGCAGGCAGCTCAACATCACCTCCTGAAGGGACATGATCCTTGCCAAAATTATGGCATCTATTCCATGAACTACCACATCAAAAAATGTACCAAACACAACATCAGGAACTTTTCGGCTTTCTTTCCAGTCCAGAGAACTCCAACTAACAACCTGAATAGGTATAACAATAGCAATTTATTTTAAATAAATCGACCACAAAATAGATATAGAAGCAAGCTGTGAATGAATATATCATAAAAACATATAAACATTGAACAAATGTTGAGGAACTGGATTCCAAGAAAAAAGAAGGAAAGTACTTGTAAAATTTCAAGTTCGATAGAAAAATGCCAAAAATTATTCTTAGACTAGAACTTGCTCTTGTATGGCCACTAAACATTGATCTTACAACCACAGCTAATCAGAGGGGAAGACAGGAGAGCCATTTGGCCTGGACCTCAGATTTAGACATTATTAATTTTTTTCGCATTTGTTAAGTTTCGCAACTTCTTGTTTTTATGTGCTTCACTCCAAATCACATTTCACTCTTTTTTCGAGCGAATGATGGTCTTATTTTGTCTTTATGTGTCGTCATTTTTTTTTATTATGGCCAGGAGCCTCAAAAGCTAGAAGTGCTCCAGGCCTCTCTGAATCTCTGAGAGGGTCTGTTTACAACCAATAACATATTAAGAACAATTTTCACCTACTTTCAACGCACATATTCTCCTGTCCTTGTATTTCTGACGAATTCATTTAAGGGAGGAAAATCAGTATTAGCCCGGTACATAAATTCAAATCATTCTATATCTAACTGCTCAATCCTTATTCGTTGCTAGAAATAAAATCTGACTAAATTGATGCTGTCTTTTAGTCTTAGTCTTAGTCTTATGAGTAAAATTTCAGCTTGTTGACGTTTTTCCTCACATTTAACAAACAAAAGTGTATATGAAAATATGTATAGCCATTAGGGAAAAATTCTTTAACAATCTATATAGACTACATAACCTTTTTCGTCCAGCTGTGCTTTTCCCATGTACAAATGATGAAGACATGTTCAATGATCTGCAACACGGCCAGCCATTGAAATTGTTGTATAATAAAGAAGTATGAAATAAACACTGTCAAAGTATCGCTTATGAAATAGGGAAACTGGCGAACCAAATCCTTACGAGGAAGAAGGCGCCATCCAAGAAGCACGGTCAAATGCCCCAAAAAGTGGAAACACTCCAGAATGAAAAACACCGTTGGTAGAACATTCATGATTACTGGGAAAACGGCTGGTTTCTAAATAAAGGAAGGTTTACTTTAATGGAACAATATATTCTCTCTCGATGTGACAATGAGTATAAAGAACAGTCCCATCAGTTTTAAACAATTTAACTACGTATCAATTAAAGTTAAAGCTTTCACTGTAATTAATGTTGAACAATAACTTTAGCTAATATCTTCTTGCTTTTTATGAAAAATGCTGCAAACTGAAAGATTTTCATCGAACACACGTAGGAATAAAACAAGTACAAAACTTGATTTTTGTTTCCCTTATAATTTTCATCATATTTGTTTATTATAATTGGATACCTTTTTCTCTAAAATTATGTTACCTATATATTAGCAGTAAGTTTGAAGGTTTATATCGTTAATATGCAAGGTTAATTCCTTGCTGTAGTCATGCGAGCTAGCCCATCGTACAGCTTTGCACATAAAACAAAGAAAAGGACCAAAAAAAACTTTATAGCATTGCTATACAATAGGAGAAGGAACCAAGAGTTATACTTGCGAAATTTACAAGTTGTATTATTAAATAGTGGCTTCATAGTTTTCTAGGTTTGAGTATGTTGTACTATTTCATGAAACTTGTATAAAATGTGGGTAAAGCCTAAAATGATATATGCTTTCAGCAATCCTTATATATTAATAACTGACAAGTAATATAAATATTAACACACTACAAATTAAGCCGTGACCTCTATCAGCCTCTAACAATTAGAATAATTCTGTTCACTTTAGTTCCTGAGTCATATAAATGTTGCAGACATTGTTGATGGTATGTTTTCATGTATATGTTTCTGAACGAGTTAGAAGAATTCGTACAACTTTCTGTAGCTAAGCGATGTGTAATATTGAATGAGTCTTCGCGACTTTCTTTTCAGTTTTCCTCTATCATTATCTTACAAAATTACTTCTTTACGTATATTTAGAGTAGGTTCCAGCAGTAAAAAAATTTATGTTAGCATGTGTGCACGTATAGACATAATCCTTTTCGGGTTGGCAATAAAAAATTAAAATTACAGCGAATGGACGTCACAGAGGTATGTGTATTAACTACAGCCGCGCAAATACCCAACGTTTGGTGTTTCTCACACTTTGCTAATATAAAAACAATTTTTGTTTTTGTTTATTCTTCATAAGGTTTCATCTGTGAACTTAGCTGCTTAAGTCAGAATTGAATATTAACGTTATAGCTATGAAAGTCAAAAGTTCAAACAAGATGATCGGTGCTCGTGTTTGAACAGTTTTTTCATCATTGTAAAAAATAAATATATTTAGTCTTACAAGTACACGGATCTTTTCTCTAGTTAAGAAGTATATGGTTACTGTACCTGCTTTTGCTCATACATATATATAGAAGCACAACGAACTGTGATATAACTAATTGTAATACGTGCAGTCTTAGTCTATCAAATATATTAATATACAGTAATAACATTCACTCTAATTTCTTTTCGGTATCAAAATTGAAAGACCCCTATGAAAGAAATAAAAAATATTAGGCTCCCTAATATTAATTCCAAAACATACACTTTTAAACTTACCGAATAATCCTAATAGTTATGGTCGATATGTTTTCTACACGGTAATCTAATGTTTTTTCCTTATATAACACACTTTAACAACAGTGTACAAACCAGTACAAGTATTTTATCATCAAGGTTACACTTCTACTTATACGATGTACTTGAAGCAGCGCTCGTTGTGTGCAGGTTTAATATACAGGATGGACGACATACTGATATAACATTATGTTGATAGATGACGCTCCTTTAAAAACAGCACTATTTAATAGAAAAAAATTACACGGCTCTCACAGGAAATAAAAAAATTAGTCCTTACAATTAAAGGTTCTTTCATTTTCACGAACTGACAAGAACAGTAATTTTTAAACCTTTCTCACAAGTAAGCGTTTAAAATACATATACATTCGTACTCCCTGCTTGGCATTTATACACAGGGTTAAGTAAATTATATTAAAACAGTTTTTAATATGCAAATAAACACATCAAGTGACAACCACATCCACAATGAAGTGGCGGTGGAATGGCGCGTATTATCAGAACAACATTGTGACGTTGATTGGTGTTAAGTAGTTAGTGTGATGCCATCTAAAACGGATCGCTTCTGGAAAGGGTATGTAACAGCCATTTTCAGCACAAAGTTTTCATACACTAAGATTGTAAAGATAATTTCATATTGGAGATTTAGGACTTGCGAGAAGGAGATGTTTCTTGTACTTAATGATCTTAATACAAACAAGACAACGAATTAAATTGTGAGAGCTACTCAGAGCGTAAGCAGAAGAACCTGGAGCTGCGTTATTTGTGTTAGAGTTAACTTTTGTAGTTAAAAAGAGTAACTATGCCTGGTCTACTACTTTAAATTATTGAGAAAAACAACAAAAACTGATTTACTAATAAAGTAAGAAAGTTAAACGTTTAGATTAAACGACAGTCTAAAAAGCCTAAAAGTATAATTACACCAAGAAAATTACGATTTTCTCGTTCGCACGAAGATAGCTTTTGTATACGGAAACATCTGTTAGCTAAGTTCTTGCACAGATCTTAAAATGTAACGTTGATAAATGGAAACATCGGTACATGTAGATACGTAGATCTTGATCAAGAACTCAGCTAACAGATGTTTCCGTATATAAAAGCTATCTTCAAGTTTTGTACAACAAAAACCTTTTCAAGTAAGCAACTCCTAATACTTCTTACAGTTATAACAACAGCAATTGCCATAATCGTGAGACAGTGGAATATTTAAATAGCAGTTGGCATTTAACGTCACACGCAATAAGTTTGAATATTGGGCTTACGCTCAGTGGCGTGGCAAGGGGGGCAGCCGCCCCCGGACGCAGGTTTGAAGGGGGCACAAACTTCCCTCTGGCCTATAATGCCTGTTAATTAATGATTATGCCCTCCCCTAGAATATGGCGCAACTGTCCAACGTTAAGTAAATACGACATAGTGTTATTTGTGTGTATTACGCTTGCAGTTTTAACTTTTAAAAACCGCCCATTGAAACACAATGAGACCGAATTGACCTACAGAAGTAAATTACATTATTCCAGCATTCATCTGTAGATCAAATACAAGTCCTAGAGTACAATGTACAAATAAGTGTATGTTCAACAAACAGAAAATACGAGACTGATGTAACATATTGTTACGACAGCGGAAGTCACTTGACGCTAGTAACATGTTATGAGCTTCTAGAAAATTCATGTCCCTTCGTGAAGCCTCGAGTAGTTACTAGATATGCGGTATTCTTGTATATAAGACCGCCAAGAAGTGACGGCAACAATGCAGGTGAATTGCAGACAGAGATAAAGGCAGACAGTTGGGTCGAGCGCGTGTGTCGTTCGTTGTGAATTATAGCGTTTGGTTAAGTTATAGCGTGACTGTGGAAATTAAGTGTATTGCAAAGTTATATTGAGAAAGAATAAACTAGTTTTATTTAAGAAAGGACTTGTATCGCTAAAGTTTCTTCGGAAAGAATTTTTACGGAAAATTAACAAACGAACAGAGGCGTAACAAATTGGTGTCAGAGAGTGGGACAAAAAAAATGGAAACGAGAAGCGGCAAATCAAACTACAGCTTAGCAGAATTGATGGCAGCAATACAAGAGCAGCAAAAGAAACAAGACGAACGAGAAAATAAACAAGAAGGACGAGAAAAGAGACAAGAAGAGAGATTACAGCAACTGTTGGAGAAAAAAGAAAAGAAACAAAAAGAGAGACAACAGTATTTGCAAGAAAACCTGCAACAGTGGCAGCTCGAACAGCAAAAGAAACAAGAAAAGAAATTACAGCAGTGGTTGGAGGAAAAAGAAAAGAAACAAGAAGAACGAGAAAATAAACAAGAAGAAAGTCTCCAACAGTTGAGGGAAACCAG